CACGCAGGTCCTGCAGGAGCGCCGGCTGAGGCTGATCCTGGCCGGGAGGTCAGGGACAGGCAAGAGCGCCACTGGGAACAGCATCCTGGGCGAGAGACGCTTCCTCTCCAGGCTGGCAGCCACCTCGGTGACCAGAACCTGCGAGGTGGGGAGCTGCACGTGGGGTCAGTGGCTCGTGGAAGTCATGGACACCCCGGACCTTTTCAGCCCCCGGGTCGCCAAGACAGACCCGGGGGTGCAAGGAGCGGACACGCTGCTACCTGCTGTCGGCACCCGGGCCCCACGCGGTGGTCCTGGTGACTCAGCTGGGCCGCTTCACGGCGCAGGACCAGGAGGCCCTGAGGGCACTGAAGAAACTGTTCGGGCGCCGTGTGTTGGCGCGCACCGTGGTGCTGTTCACGCGCAAGGAGGACCTGGCGGGCGGCTCGCTGCAGGAGTACGTGCGCGACACGGACAACCGCGCGCTGCGCCGGCTGGTGGCCAAGTGCGGGGGCCACGTGTGCGCCTTCAACAACAGGGCGGTGGGCGCGGAGCAGGAAGCCCAGGTGCAGGAGCTGCTGCAGATGGTGGAGCGCCTGGTGAGCGACCACTCTGGCAAACACTTCACCAACAAGGTGTATCGCCTGGCGCAGAAGCTGGCCACAAACCCACAGAAGCAGAGTGACAAGGTGACCAAGAAGCTGGCGGGCCGGAAGCAGGGCTTGCTCAGGCGGTTGTTCCCGGCTGCCAGGCAGGGAAGCTGATCGGACCCCGCTGCTGGGCTCCCTGGCCATTCTCTGGCTGGTGTTCGCCAGACACCGGCCTGAGGCCAAGCGGAGGTCCTCAGTGACAGGCTGTAGAGATGAAGTTGACGCGTCGGCTGAGCATCACACGCCTCCCTGGTGTCTGTCCCTCCAGGGTCCGCATGCTTTCTATGTGTCCCTCCCCTGGCAGTGATACATCAAGGGCAAAACGCCGCCAGGGCCTGTCTCCCCGCAGAACGTGCCCGTGTGACCTGGCCCTCTCTGAGCTCCTTTCTTACTTAAGCCACATAACTGTCGCCCCTTTTGCCTGCCTTCTACTGACCTCAGGCTCCTGTCCCCTGTCAGGGAATCAGCCCCCATGTGCCCACGGGGCCACGGGCGGGAACCAACACAGAGCCTCAGTCCACGCCCCTTTGTTCCCATTGACCAGGCCCTGAATGAATAAATGCACTGGGCGCTCACGCTGTGTTGTCGGAAGTCAGCCTCTGTAGCTGTCGGTTCCCCTGCCTGATCCCCGCATTGAACGAGGACACTACTCTGTCAGCCCCAGCCCCACCTGCAAAACCACACACGTGACCAAGTGCAGAGACACGCGTGCGCGCACACACGCACTGGGGGTTGTGCCCACAGGAAGAGAACACACTGGAGAACTGTCCCTCTGTTGCAGCAGGGACGACCCCCTGTGTCACCCCTCAGTCCCCTTAGCAGCTCGAATGCAGAGGCTTCTACAAGGCCAAGGAAACTAAAACTAGAGACGCGAGTCATGAGGAGCCGCTGAGACCCTGTGAAAATCCACTTCCACGGGGCCCTTGCTCACTGGCTGGCACGCTCACGGGGGAGGGCGTGCTTTTCAACTCGGGGGTAAAGCCTAAAAAATTAAGAGGTCTGGAAACTTCTAATTCAACCTCATGATTAAGGGCGGACAGGCCTCGGTGGGCCGAGCACTGGGGACGCACTGGCGGGCGAAGCGCCAGCCCCTCTGCCCCAGGCGGGTCCGGCAGCTCAGCTCCGGGCCCCGGTGGGTGGGCCGGGTCGGCCCCGCTGACCTCTGCACCCGCGCCGCCCCTCTGTCCCCGGAGACTCCCCACCACACCAAACCCAGGCTCCCCCGGTCCTGCCGGGCGCCCACAGCGCCCTGGGCCGGTGCCTTCGCAGACAGAGTCCCAGGTCACTGATGCCCTCGGGTCACTGAAGAGACACGCCAAAGCGGGGGATAACCGGCCACGGCGGAGCAGGTAGGGGCGCGAGAGGCCCGCAGCCCCGCCTGGACCCACTGCGGACACGAACGGGGACCCAGCGCCGAGGCCGACACGCGGCACTTCCGCTGTCAAGGTCCCTTTGCACCCAGGCTTGCGCGCAGGTCCCCGCGGGGCCCTGAGGCGCAGTCTTGGTTTTGGTCTTGTCCACTTTTCAATACCCTTTTGCAAGGACCAAACAGGAAAAGTCTGCCATTGTCACGTTGCTGAGAGAGGAGGAGGCCACCGGGAAACAAAGGAGAAAGAAAGAAAAGCAGAGTCCGGTGCGAGCAATGTGACGTTTGATTCTTGGCCTAAGGTCAGAGGGATGGAGCCCAGAGATCCCCAGGGACAGCAGCTGAGCCGCTGGGAGTGCGGGGAGGAGCCCCGGGGGCCCCAGGAGCAGACACGCCCATCGCAGCTGCAGCCAGGACCCCTCAGGGAGGGGCGTGGGTTTGCTGTCTGTGCCCAGGGAGAGGACAGGGATTGGCGGGCAGATCAAACACACGACCCAACCATAAGCTGCTCAGAGAAACATCCTTTCAAATATCATGGCAGAAACAGGCTCAACATTAAAGGATGGAGAAGGTAAATGGTGCAACTATTAATCATGCAAAAGGAAGAAGGAATGGCTATACTCGTAGCAAATAAATCAGACTTCAGAACAAAGGAAACTACCAGATGCAGAAAGGAACATTGTCGAGTGATAAAAAGGTCACTCCACCCGGAAGACAAAGCAATCCTACATGTCTTCTCCAACAACAGAGAGGCAAAACCTCCGCGCAGAAGCTGACGAGCGAAAGGAGCATTAGGCAATTCCAGACCATGGTTAGAGACTCCCCCCCCCCCCCCCGACTCCCCCAGCCACCAAGGGAAGAGCTACAGAGAAAATGACCCGGGACCGGGAAGGCCGCCCTGACACCTCCCATCAACGGGGCTAATGGACATTTGTAGAAGTTGAAATTTACAGAAGACACGTATTTTCAGGTGCACATGGACCATATGCCACGCTAGGCCCCGTTCTGAGCTTTAACACAAATCTTACCCAATTTAAAAGAACTGAAATGGAGAGGAACCCGCCCTCGGGTCACAGCGGCGTGTAGCGCGAGCTCAGGAATGGAAAACAGCAGGTGCCGCTCCTCCACTGCCCGTCCGCGGCCGGCAGAGCCGGGACTCCCTGCACCGTCCTCGCAACCGGAGAAAGGCCTGTGGACGGCCCTTCAAGGTCAAAGCCTAAGTCTGAAAAGGGACTTTCCTGGGCCTGGAAGGCACTCATGGCACTGTCACTGAAGGAACAGTACGGGGCAAAGGGACAGTCTCCCTTTCATTCTACTCATTGGTGAAACCAGTCTCTCTGTTGAGGAGAAGAGGAGAGAATGTCCCCCACCACATGTAGGTCCCCTGGCCCAACACCCCTCACTCCTTTCACTCTTAGAGGACAGATGGCCTTGCTCATGTGGGGACAGCGGCAGTCTCTGCTCTCCCTTGGCAGAATATTAGCAAACTGAACTCTCCAGGACAATAAGAGGGCCACACGCCACAGGCAGGTGCACGTAAGTCGGTGCACCTCCTCTCATTGCAGGGAATGTGTACCTTCCTGTGGTGGATGCCGTCGTTAGGTAGGACCAGGGTCTCAAGGTCTGGGAGGCTCTTCCTAAATGTGTTCCATTCTTTTTTAATTGATTACTGGAGAGGGATTTGTTGTTTCACTTATTTACGTAGTCATTGGTTAGTCCTTGTATGTGTGCTAAGCCGGAATCAAACCCGCAACCTGGGCCCATCAGGACAACACGCTAACCTGCAGAGCTGCCCGGCCAGGGCGAAATGCGTTCTTCTACACGGTGAGCTGAAGCGCAGGGCTTTGCAGGCGCAGCCGTCAGCAGGACGGCCACGCAACCCCACGCCACCCCACAGCCTCCCCGTGGGGAGAAGAGCTTTGGATGTGAGACCCCATCTCCTTTACTTGCTGCAAGTAAATAAAATGGCCTTGTGACAACCAGGCCTCGTCCTTGAACAGAACACCCCAAGCGGTGAACCCCTTCAGTGTAGACATCGTGAGACTCTAGCCACAAAAGTGTCAAGGCCAAGGGGACGTGCCGGGATACAGGATGTAAGAGCTACCGGTGGGTTCGTAGAGGCTAGGACAGGGGTCACAGAGGGATCGGTGGCTTGTGGACAAGAGACATTTGTCTTTCACGCCCTGGAGGGTGGAGCCCAGGGGCAGGTCGCCCTCAACGGTGGGTCCAGGGAGGGCTCTCCTGGGGCTGCAGAGGGACAGCTTCCCGCTGGGTCCCCAGGGGCAGGAGGGAGAGCCGGCGCCCCGGGGCCCTTTATATGGCACGGAGCTCCCTCAAGGGGCCGTCCAAGGGCACCACCCTCTTGGCATCAGGTTTCAACGCCTGGGTTTGAGGGACAGCAACCCTCAGACCACAGCAGACACCGGCCCACCCTCACGCCTTCGGGTTCTCGCAGAGGGTGGGCGTCTCCACGGTGACCCCTGTAGAATCATGACCTACCTCTCCCTTCTTAAACAGTATTTCTGTAAATAATGGCCCGTTTGCTTAAGCACTCTAGAAACTGACTCCAAAAGAAGCGACATTGACCTTCCGACATTCCAGCTTCCAGAGACCGGCTGACCCTCAGCCGGTGACCGGCAGCGAAGGTGCTGGCGGGCACGTAGCCCCTGCCCAGAGGACGCTCAGCCGCTCCTTTGTTCTGTTTCCTTTCCCCTCCTTCCCGTCCTCACTGGAACCCCTGCCCACGTCCAGTTGGTCGGATGGTCTTTGAGACAAGAACCACCCCCTTCCCAGGCCGCTGGACTTTGAATAAACCACGCTTCCTTACGCAGCCCCTGTCCCCCGAGCGCCGCTTTCGAAGCTGCAGGCCGCTGGGCCCGAGCTCCGTGTTGGGTTTTTACAGTCACGCATGAAAGAGCGTGCGACCTGCCCTCGGCCCCAGGGTCCCACGTGCTGTTACTGGTGACCCAGCTGGGCCGCCTCACCACGGTGACAATGCCAACACGATGGCAATGAGGAGGGCGAAGGAGGTCTTTGGGGCACGAGCCCTGAGACACGCGGTGGTCCCCTTCACCCACAAGGAGGACTCGGGGGGCGAGTCCTTGGGTGGGTCCATAGCCCATGTGGACAACCTCAGCCTGCGGGGCCTGGTCCAGGGGTGCGGGGGCCGGTACTGTGGCTTCAACAACCGGGCCACCGGGGAGGAGCAGAGGGCGCAGCTGGCAGAGCTGATGGCTGTGGTCGAGAGCCTGGAGTGGGAGCCCCAGGGTGGCGCCTTCTACAGCCGCAGCCTCTTCTCCCTGCCCTGGGGCTCCGCGAGGGCATGGTGGCGCCCGCGGAGAAGAGCACAGGCGCCACCTGGCCCAGGTGCACTGTGTTTTTGTATGTGCTATGCTGGCGTGTGTTGTGTCTTTGAATATTTGGGAGTATATGGGTCTGTTATGGTTGTGAGCGTTTTGTGTGAGTGGTCTGTGGCGTGTTTGGGCTGTGGTTGTGGGTATGCCTGAGTGTTTGTGTATGTCTCTGCTGGGGGTGTGTATGTTTGTGAGCGTGTGTGTTGTGAGTACATTGCGTGAGTGCTCTGTGGCGTGTTTGGGGTGCGTGTTACATTTGTGGTGTGCGTGTGCGCTGTGTCTGTGTGTGTGTCTGTGGTCCGTGGTCCGTGGTCCATTACAAGGCACGGTGGCTAAGGGGGCAGAAGGACGCCGTGTGCTTCCTGTCCTGCCCCAAACGCCCGCAGCGTTGCGGGGAAGAGGCTCCGTGAGTTTCACTTTCCTCCTGACAAACAACGGGGGCCGCGCCTGCTCCGTGTCCCCGATGGAGACACACTGGGCGGGGGCAGAGGCGGGAGGCACCGTGCAGGGCAGGTGTGCGGGGGCCCCGGGGGACAGACACCCCCTGACTGTGACTGTCCCCCGTGTCCTGCGTGCCCCAGCAGGCAGTCCCGTCCCCAGCCCGCAGGGGAGACGGAGCAGAGACAGCGGGACGGGCTGCGGAACGGGGAGCCCCGTCAGCCCGTGGGGCAGAGCGGGTGACGGCAGGGCGCAGTGCTCTCTCCCCCGGAGGGTGACGGACGGCACTTCCTGCTGGGGTGACGGGGCCCCCTGCAAACACGGGGACGCGCCCTAGACAATGTCATAAAATGGGCCGGTCACCTGTAGGGACCACAGGGACATCCCGTCGAGGCGCGGCTTTCGCACCCACGGGGCCTCTGAGGCCCAGGCGGCGAGACGTCGCTGACAGGTGGCCATGAAGAAGGGCAGTGGGGTCCCCGGCTCCCGCAGGGCTGTCCTCGCATCATGAGGCTCCTGTGCCAGGGCTCCGGGCCTCCTCACCACAGCACCCGGCCGGCCGCCCGCCTCCGAGCCCCGTGCCGCCCGCACGGCCAGGCCGCCCTCCGGGACCATCCTGGCCCCAGGCCCGGCCCGCCCGCAGCCGGCCCCTCAGCACAGCCTCCTGCGCACGCCCCCGCCCCCCCCCCACTGCGCACCCTCCGGCCACCGTCTTCCCACGGCTCCTGGGACAGACTGTCAGCCCTGCTTCTGTGTCTCTGCTCCTGCTCCTCCTCCTCCTCCTCCTCACAGGGCGGCCCCAGGACCCAGGGTCCCTCCTGACGCCATCGTTCCTCAGGTGGCAGGTTGATGACTCCTCCATGAAATTGCTTGAACTCACAATGAGGGCCCCGGGCGGGGGCAAAGAAACAGGGTCCCTGAAAGGGGCAGAAAGTGTCTCATGCCTTCCTCCCCTCTCCTCACTCAGTCTATACCCCTGCCCCAAAGCAACGCAAACACTTCCTTCTTGGAGGAGAAAGGCAAAGCCAGCGGCCTCAGGAAGCTCAGTCAGACATGTTGTTTCCTTAGGCGGAGGAAGGGGAACAGGAGCTGATTGTCTGGGACAGTCCTCCAGGAGCGTCATCCCAGCATCCGACCCAAGACGTGGCAGCAGGTAACCCTGAGCGAGGTGCGGACAGGGACGTGGGGTGCAGGGGCGCGCGGGGAGAGGCAGCGGAGCGCAACCAGTCAGCGCTTCACCCCGCAGAGGGCCCTTGGACGGGGCCTTCCTTACCCCCCGAAAACGAGGGAAAGACCCCAACTGGCACAGCGGGGGAAAGGGCGCGAGAGGCGGCACCAGCCGCGCCCTCCAGAAGGGGAGTGTGACAAGACGGCTCCCCTCGGCGGGGGCTTGCAAGCCAGCGAGCCCACGGTGGGGGGGGCGCGGGGCTGGCTCGGGTCGGGGCGCGGAGGGTCAGCAGGGCCGCCCCGCACCATGGAAGGCACGGCTGCCTCAGAGCGAGCGGGGCTGGCCCCCCCCCAGGGCTCCCCCCGCAAGCTACTGCGTCGGGGCCGCGCTCACGAGTCAGGGGGGCGGCCTCCTCATCTCACCGGGGAGCCAGAGCTCGGGCGCTGGCCATGCATCCGTTTCCTGGCCAGAAGAAATATTTGTGATTCATTGTGTGTTTGACCACAAGTGATTGTTTTTACTCCATGAACCTCAGCGGCCCGAGTCACTGGGAGAAAGCCCTGTTAATAGCCTGCGTGGGAAATGCACCCATACGAGAGCTGACACCTGCTTTAGCCTTTCTCATGGCAACCAAGGTTACATACTACTTTTGAAACCCTCCCCAGAGCCTGAGTGGCGTGCCTGGCGTGCGCCGGCTCCGGGCTCGCCCCGAGGGCAGTTCCCGTGTTCGCCCAGCTCCAGGCCGGCGGGGGGGGGGGGGTAGGGAGGGACACTATGCGCACCCGGTTTCTTTGACACCAGCCCCCCTCGCCCCCCACTCACTCACGTTGTTTTCAAAGCCAAGCGGGGGAAGCTGGAGGAAACCAGAGTCCCCAGCCAGTGTTAGTGGGTGAGTCGGACAGAAAAGGATGCTAGTCCCACCTTGAGGAGGGTTGGGGCTCTATCACGGAGACCCATCAATGTCTTCATTGTGCTGCAGACCCGGAAACCAGAGGGCTCCTTTGGCACTGGCCTCTGTGCTCCAGGCTGTGAGCTGAAAGGCCAGGGGAGGGAATTCTCTTCCGGTCCTCAGACTCCAGTGCTCTCTGAAACCCTAACCTTAGGTTTTCAGTACCAGGCTGGCATGTCCGTGTCTCCTCTTGGCCTGTGGTTCCTGTGCACTGCTGGGCGGGAACACTCAGCCCAGATGTCAGGGACGGAGCCTAAGAACGTGCCCCCAGGGAGCCTCTGTGCTGTGGAGCCTGGGGTCCTGTTGAAAGGTGCCACCCTCCCCACGTTCAAGATGCAAAAGCAGAGGGAGGTGATGGGGGCAGGCACTCGGGGACAAGACGTAGACACAGAGGCCACGCTCTGCCCTCGTCACCAGGGACACCTAGGAAAGCCCATTCAGGATGGGCCGATTCTGTCTGGGTGAGAACACAGGACTCTGAGAAGACCTTTCAAACCTGAACATGGAACTGCGGTGCCTGCCGCATCGTCCAGCAGTTCCATGCTGGGCAGGTGCCCCGTAGAATCCAAAACAGAGGTGCAGAGCGGCACTGGTCCGCTCGTGTTTGCAGCTGTGTTATTCGCAGTAGCAAAAAGCAAAGACAACGTGTGTCCACGTGTAAGGACAACACAGCGCGGTCCGAGTGTGCAATGGGATGTTATTTGGCCTTGAAACAGAAGGGAATTCTGACTCGAGCCACAGTGTGGATGAGCCTGGGCCACACGGTGATGGCCGGTGAAGTAAACCCGACACCGAAGGTCAAAGGCGCAGGGACCCACATCTCTGAGGCCCCTTGGAGGGCACAATCCACAGAGACAGGAAGGAGCTCATAGTGAGCGGGGGCCCAGCGGGAGGAGGGATGAGGAGTTCCTGCTGCATGAAGACCGACTTTCACTTTGGGGTGACAGAAAAAATCATGAGATGCCTTAAAAATGATGATGGCACAGCCCTGTGAAGGTGCGCGATGCCACTGAGCTGCACGTCCAAAGTTAGTGAGAACAGGGATTTTTATGTTGTGTGCATTTGCCCCCATAAAACATTTTAAAAAGACAGGAGTGTGGGCCCAGAGCGGGTCTCTGAGCCAGGCTCCCAGGTCTCCAGGCCTCCCAGGACAGGCTGCCCCCTGGGTCGCGAGCATAGCCAGGGCGGAGGCCTCTGAGGAGGCTATGGGTGGGCGGGGGCGGGGTGGGTCATGGGCTCTAACCCCCACGCTCTGCTTTGTCTGGACGCTTCCAGGTCCGCCGGGGGAGGGCCAGCTCCCGAGGAGGCTGAGGCTCCTGCTGGTGGGGAAAAGCGGAAGCGGGAAGAGCGCCACTGGAAACAGCATCCTGGGCTGGAACGCGTTCGAGTCCAGGCTCAGCGCCAGGCCCGTGACCATGACCATCCAGCAGGGCATCCGAGACTGGAACGGGATGGAGCTGGAGGTGACCGACACCCCTGATATTCTGTCCCCTCGGGCTCCAGGGGAGGGGACAGCTCCGGACCCCTGGGCAGCCATCGCATGCTGCGCCCCAGGGCTACACGCGGTGCTGCTGGTGACGCAGCTGGGCCGCTTCACGGAGGAGGACCTGGTGGTGGTCCAGCGCCTCCAGGAGGTCTTCGGGCAGGGCGTCCTGGCCCGCACCATCCTCGTGTTCACCCGGAAAGAGGAACTGGACGGCATCTCCCTGGACGAGTATCTGCGCAACATGGACAACCCGAAGCTCGCTTGGCTGGACACGGTCTGCGCGAGGCGGCATTGCGGCTTCAGCAACAGGGCGGTGGGCGCGGGGCAGGAGGCCCCGCTGGAGCAGCTCATGGACTTCATCAAAATGATCCTGTGGGAACACGAATACCGTCCTTAGATCAACAGAGCTTACCCCGGGCCGCCCGCCGCCAAAGGACCTGAGCGCAGCAGGCCGGGGAGGGCGAGGCGTCCAGGGCGAGGCTCCCAGGAAGCGCCATTGCGGAGTCCTGGTCTCAGAGCCCGTGCCCAATCAGGGCACCTGAGAAAACCCACAGACATCTCCCGAAAGGACACCGCCTGAGTGCCTGCCGGACTCCAGCGGGGACAGCTGTGTCCTGGGGGCCTCCCCAGGCCTGGGTCCGCCTTCCAGCCTGTCCCTTCCCTCTGCATCCCATGGCTCACGCCAATGTCCAGGGCGGTGTCTGCTGAGTCAGAGGGTGTGGGTCCCACGGTCGCGGCTCCCATCCGGGTCCCTCATCGGGCTTTCCCGGCCGGGGGCGCCCTGCGGACCCCTGCAGCCCGCCGGCCCACACGGACCTCACGTCGCGTTGGCAGCGCATTTGTTGAAGTCTTGTACCCGAGAGAACCAGAGCCTCCTGAGCACAGGGCCTCCTCACTCTCCGTGTGACCCCACTGCGTCCTGGTCACGGGAGTCACTCCTGAACAGTGACAGCCAGTCAGTGCGGGACATTGACCAGGGGACTCTCAGCGCTTGGGCTACGTCCTCCCGCACACAGGGGCAGCGCAGTGGTGAGGTGGGTCAGGACAGGGGCGTGGCCCTGCAGCAGGTGGGGAGGGACAGCCGCTGGCTGGGCAGGAGGAAGGGGACAGAGAGGGAGGGGCCCAGGAGTGGCCCTTTCCTCTGCCCCGAAGGTGGCCATCAGGCCCCAGCAAATGAGCCTCGTGGGGGCCGCCTGGTGGGAATGATGAGCCACGTGGGGTCTACGAGGAGCCGGGCCTGGTCAGGACAGCGGCCTGGGACCTGCTATAGGACATGGAGGCCCCGGAGGTGCTTGGGGGGCTTGGGCAGAGGAGCTGCCTCCCCTGAAGGGGACTGGGTCAGGGGTGCAACGATGAGGGCCCCTCTCATTTCCTCTGCCGCCTCATGTTAGAAATCAGAGGGGGCTCTCCCCCTGCCCAGCCTCACCACAGCCATTCCCTTCTCGCCTGACGGCGGAGACGGCAGGCAGGGGCCCGTGTCCGGGGTGTAGTGGGCCCCCAGGAAGGTGTCCGTGGTGTCGGGTGGGGGGCAGGGAAGGCAGGGAACCTGTAAGGGAGCGGCTGGGGGCCGTGAGCTCAGTGAGGAGCACCCGCCGGGTCCGCGGGGAGGACTCTGCGCCCTGCGGGGACTTCCTAGAGGGCTGCTCCTGCGGACAGGGCCGTAGGGGGTAAGGTGGACAAGGGACAGAGGACGTCAGGATGGTGGTCAGCCCCGGCCTCGGATCGGTAAGTGCCATCTGACCCCACAAGGACACTGACGCACCTCAGGTGCCGCTCAGCCCCTCTGAGGCTCAGGATGCTCCTGGGGAATCTGACCAAGGGATGGAAACAGGACAGGTGGGAACGGGGGCAATGCCCCTGAGAGACCCCTCTGTGCTTCCTTCGCACCACGTGGCAGGGGGTCTCTAGCTGCCTTCTTCAGGGAGGGGCGGAAAATACAGCAGAGGTGAGTGTTGGGGAACAATCAGAGATCCGAGAGGCAGCCACGGGTCTGTCTGGATGCTCACCCGCCGCTCAGAGACCCTCTGCCGTCAGGGGCCCCTGGTCTCCCCGTGTGGAGGCCGCGGCCCCCACTGTCCCCAGACACGGGGGACACCTGCGGAAGCCGTCGCGTGTCATTGGCCGAACGATTCAGGGAAGCGTCTCAGGGCAGAACAGAGACCTAGTCTGGGGGGTCCTTGGACAGAACCGTTTGTTCAGTCAGCCGTCTACTGCCCCGGATGGGAGCCCCGCCGTTTCCGCTGTGAGGCCTGCGCGCTCCTGGGACCCGGCAGGACTGGCAGTTCTGGTCCTTTTCTTCTCTTTGTGCATAAAATATGGATTTGATGACAATGGCTTTGATTTCCTCATGCATGTATTGCCTTTGTTATTCTCAGGCCTTTATTCTTCTATGTGAAAATTAAAAAACCCCTGGTGTAACTTTCTGAAGGGAAGCTTATTGGATCGGCCCCTGCCCCTGCGCCAGGTTCGGGGTAAACCATCAATATTTCAAGGTCGGGGAGTCAAGGTCACCTTGTTTCTAAGGGAGCGGAATTGCTCCTTCAGAGTCAAAGTTCAAACCATTTGCATTTCCATTAGGACAAGATAAATTGTTTATTGTTTTATCTGTTAATTCATTTAATAATAGAAACTACAAGCATTTCACCAAATGACACCCATTCCGTGATCCTAAATGACAAGTCACTCAATACATGGCATTCATGAAAAATTCTAAGGGAACAGTGTTTAATTATATCAAATATGATGTGTCCTCTCCTTTATGACTCAAAATCAGGGATGATGTCGCTCACAACATTTTAGGAGCGGGGACAAATGCTGCCGTCACTCCCCAAGGCTCTAGAGGGCGGGAAGGGCGGCTGTGGGTCCCCTCAGTTCTGGACCCTCCGCCGTCTGCCCCACGAAGAAAGACCTGGTGGGGTGGGGGCGGGGCAGGGAGAGGGGGTTCTCTGGGCCAAGGCTGTGAAAATAGTCACCTTTAGTTATTTTCAAAAAGTCTCCCAACCCTGGGGGAAAGCAGGAGAACCAGGGTCTATGCCACCTGACGGGCCCAGCGACACCAGCTTGTTTCCTCCATGGCGGTCAAGCCAGTGGCTCTGCGTCTCAGGGCAGGGTCCCAGCCCCCAGCTCCCCTGGAATAGGGCTGATGGAATACGGAGAAAATACAAAATAATGACTTTAAAACATCTGCTGGAAGGGGCTGGAAGTGACCAAACAAAGACTGACGCTCTAGGGCACGTGACCCTTATTAGTCAATAACCTGTGGTCAAGAGGAGGGGGCCACGCTCCTGCCACATTGAGGGGGTGTCCCCTGACAGCACGCTCGGTCCTGCTGACCCAGGAACAGCCCTCAGGCAGAGATTCCCAGTGACCAGATGGCAGGTGGGGGACACCTGGGGGCAGCCAGAGCTGACCAGAAGGTGATGAGGAGCCCCCCAAAAGAACAGAGGCACGAGAGGGTAGGGCTTTAGAAATTCTGCAAATGCCCAGGCCACTGTTGCTCAGTTGGTTGGAGCATCATCCTCCCGTAAAAAAAAGGGCCGTGGGTTTGAGTCCCAGTCAGGTCACATGCCAAGGTTGCGGGTTTGGTCCCAGGTCTGGATGGTCCCCGGGTCTGGGGGCATGTGCCAGGCGGCCCGTAGGTGCTTCTCTCTTGAATGCGTGTTTCTCTCCCTTTCTCTCTCCCTTCTTCAATCTTTAAAAGTTCTGACAAGATGTCCTCAGGTGAGAATTTTTAAAAAAAAGAAATTCTGCATACAATCGCCACTCAAATCTTGGCTGACCTTGGACCTTGAACCTCCAAAGGGTCCAGGGGGAAGTTGTTCTGGGAGGCAGGAAGGGCAGGCCAAAGGTGTCAGCAGGGCCCACAGCAGCAAAGATGGGCTTTGAGGCTCCAGCCCACCAAGTATGGCACTGAGATCCCCAAAGGGCCTCCTTTGAGAGGAAAAAGCAAACATCTGCTTTAAGGGATTTGCGCAAAGGAGGAGCAGCGCTGCGGTGCTCCCCTTCCCGCGCCGCCCCAGGGTCCAGCAGGGGCGTCCGACCTTCAGCCCGCAGGCCGCGTGCAGCCCAGGCGGCTGCGGGCGCAGCCCAACACAAAAACATAAATTTACTTAAAACGTTATGAGACTTTTGTGATGATGTGTCACAATGTATTTAACGTGTGGCCCAAGACAACTCTTCTTCCAGTGTGGCCCTGAGATGCCAAAAGGTGGACACCCCGGTGGGTTTCCCGTAACTTAGGTGACAAACTCAATGTCCTTCAGGGGAAGATAATAATATCCAGAGTCTCTATCAACATATTACCTACGATATTCTATAAACTGTTAAAAATTCTTCTTTTCTAAGGCAAGGCTAGAAAGCTGTCATTTCCCTCTGTGCATGTTTGTCTTGATCGCACAGATTTGTGTGTATTCTTTTTTCACTCTCATTCAGTTTAAACTATTTCTATATTCTTTGTGTTTTGTTTTCATTTTAAAGACTTTCTTTACTTATTTTTAGAGAGAGGAGAAGGGAGGGAGTAAGAGAGGCAGAGAGACATGCGTGTGTGGTTGCCTCTCGTGTGCCCCCAACCGGGGACCCGGTCCGTGCCCAGGGCCTGTGCCCTGCCTGGGAATCGAAGCAGCCGCCTTGTGGATTGCAGGATGACAACCCATCTGCTGAGCCACACCAGCCAGGGCTGTGATGTCCTTTTTCTCTCAGGCTTTATTTAGAAACATGTGCTTCATTTTCAAATATTTGAGTATTTTCTAGAAACTGCAGTGTCCAATGTGGCAGCCAACAGCCACTTGTGGCGCCAGGTCCCATGAAATGTGGCTGGTGTACCCGAGCAATGGAACCCTGCACTTTAAGTATAGTTTTCATTTACAGTTTAAAACAGAAGCAGTGTAAATATTCACCAAGAAATGCAGCTCATGGTTTTGGTAGAAATACATTTTACTCTAAGTGTTTAATCACGTGGTACTGCTGTGTCACGATGCACCATGTCCGGTGTTACACGCACACACATGCTCAACCTGGTCGACACCAACAGACTGATTCCTTTTGAATTAGCTTTTCCACTCTCCTTTGAGTGCCCTATGGACAGAGCATGAGTTACAGTGACACCTGTCTGCATTGTCATTGGTGATCCAATGGAGATCCTGATTATTCTTTTATTTGATTTATAATAAAATTAAATTGATTTTTAGTTTAAAAAATAAGCATGGACACATCCTTCACTCTCAAACGTGGGCTTGAGGTCTGGGAGAAGATCGGTTACACGGCCCACGGCCAACGGAGGTCGCGCTTGGCTGCGGGGCAGCAACGCCACTCGGAGCTGTCAGAGACGGCGGGAGTTTGATGAAACCCGTCCTCTCAATGGTCAAAAGCAGAGTCAACAAGACTAGTAACCGGAACTACAATTAGGTGTCCAACAAAAACATCTTAAACAGTATTTAAAAGGATCAGAGCCTGTAACTTGGACCAGGAGCAAAACGGGTTGGATAAAATTGCACCCCCCAAAAAAAAGAAAAAAGAAAAGAAAGAAAACCACTTTTAAGTGGAGAAGTGGTAAAAGAGATTATTACTTTGGTTATGGAAAGTTTGGTTGGAAAATTTTAAGAAAAGACCAAAACATTTTTCAAGTATACTGAATGTGAAAGACCTCCCATGAAGGCATCAACCAATTACCTATAAAAGCCAAGATGGTTTTAACAGTATCAAAGATTAATTGATTTAAAATTTGAAACATCGCAAGTATTTTTCTTTCTTTCTTTCGGTTTGGCTGTATGTATTGAAATGCTGAAGCGGGTCCGCAAAGAGGACCCCACTGAGCATCAGCCCCTGGCAACGCCCTGCGGAGCTTCTGCCTGCCAATGCTGCTGCTGTGCTGACTCCAGAGGACCTCGTACTTTCCTGTGACAGAGGAAGGAAAAAAAAAGCCCTGGCTCTGGCTGGGTGGCTCAGTGAGCTGGAGCATCACCCAGCACCCCAAGAGGTTTCAGTTCGGTCCCTGGTCAGGTTCCACACAGAGGCAACCGATCTCTCTCTCTCTCTCTCTTTCTCTCAAATCAATAAACATATCCTTGGATGATGATTTTTTTTTAAAAAAAAGCTCTGTATCTTTAAGCCACAGAGAGGTAATTGCTGAAAATTAAATCGCTATCGATTTCCCCTCCCTGCTGAGAATCCAAACGTTACTGTCTTTGTCAGCTGTAAAAAAATAAGAACAGCAACAGACAAACACACTCGGGGAGAGGAGGTAAAGAATGTCCTTTCAGGGCCTGAACCGAAGGACATGCACAAAGCAAACAATAGCACTCAGTAAATTAGATTTTAAAAATACATTCCATGTCAGCGGTCGAAGGAGCCCCAGCGCTCGTGGATGCAGCTGGACCGCGGGCATCTGGGGGACCGTGTGAAGGTAGCACCCGACTGACATCCTTCTCTTCCCCTCCCAAACTGATTACACCAGGGGTCTGTTTCATTTCAGATTCCTCTTCTCCCGATGTTGATGTTTTTTCACTTCCTCCCTCTGATGTTTGCCCCTCCGGACCCCCAGAAGCAGTGTTGCCGCTCACAGAGGCACTTGCGCTGAATCTGGCGGCCCTGCCTTCCCCCGGGAGTCTCCATCTTTATTCCTCCTCTTCCCTCAGGGCACGCCTCCCCTCCCCCTCTCTGCCTCCTGCTAACCCTCCCCAGATGTTTTTCTTTACAGCTACAGGGGAAGTGAGATATGAGACACTTGCACAAATAATATTGTATGTCTTAAAGAATTCCGCAATCTATAAAGAATGTTGTAAACTCAGAGGGGAAAATTCAAAGTGGTGGTGGAGGTATGTTCCAATCTTTTGAACCTATCAGATGAGAATCTGAATTGCTATTTGGCACCAGCCCCTCATGGTGGAAGCATGTGCTTCAGATGCAGGGGTGACCCTTGCTGGGACCTACTGGCAATGGGACAAAGAGGAACTTCCCCTGGCCCCTTCCCAGTGACAACGAGAACACAACAGGGCATCCCGTGGTGCCATACGTGGGGCAAGGATTCGGCGCAGCTGGATAGTCCACGTGAGAATTCACCTTCCAGCTGACCTTCCTGTGGAAACGTTTCCATCTCATCCAAGACACCGGTAGGACTCACACCTCTTTGACAACACATTAGATTCTTTACTCGCCACTCCGTAGCAAGTGCCTGGTGCACACGAGGCCGTTGCGAAACACTCCACACCCTTCCCTTTGCAGAGCTGGTGACACTGGCTCAGGAACGTGCCCACAGCACGGACAGCCCCACGTCCTGGCCGCTCTTTAGAGGGACCTCCTGAGCTGCCCCCTTGATCTCTCCTCTGCGCTCTTGGTCACATGCCACTGGCCTCTGTCCTTCGTGTCCGGGTCACACAGACCTGCCATTCAGTCCTCTCGCCAGTGTCACAGTAACAGCACATTCAGGGCTTTCTGTAGCCTTTATCTTTGTCACTGCAGATGTTGGGAGTCACAAGGAGGGTCCCCCAAATAGCCCTGTGTATCACTGCCCCAAGCTGACCATGTTCCTTTGGGAATGAGGAAGGGCTAACCCTACAGCCCAGTAGTGAGAGACACCTCATAAACTATCCCCTTCTCAGGAAGGGAAACTGGTTGGTCTCTTTCTGGGTGTGAAAACATTTTAAACTGTTATTTTATTTTTCAAAAAAAGGAAGCAGGCTCTCCTCTCCCCTTTCGGCAAGCAGTGACAGGACACGCCCTGCTTTTTGGTTTTGGTTCTTTCTCCAGGAAGAAGTTTCCTCGGGCGTGCGGCCACCAGGACCTGCTGCTAGAACATGGAGACGTGCTTTGGGAGACGTGCTCCTAGAAACAATTTGGGGAGGAGTCCCCAGGAGAGAAGGGACAGATTTCAACTGCTCTTATCCATGAATAAAGGGATCTTATTTGCAACCAGGAAATCCACAGGGTCTCAGAAACCTTGGTTATACGAAACTTCTACAGGCACCGAAGGTACGAAGCAAAGAGAATGGCGTCTCTGGTGGGCAGAGGGGTTGGGGGAAGGGAAGCCAAGCTGAAAAAACACCTAGAAGTTTTATCAAAACGGGAAATTCATCCCTGTGCTCTTAGAAGTAGTATTAGTGGTCTTTTCTAAGGTAAAAGAGTTCCAGTTCTGCACAAATATGAGAAGAAAGAAAAGCTTTATTATGGTAAAAGTGAACAAACAATTCAAGGGGGCGGGATGGGGCGTGCGGACCACCCGCCCACAGGGAGTCATCAAAGTGCGGGCTGATGGAGGTGCGGTGGCAACAGCGAGCTGCCCAAGAAAAGGAGAGACCTAGTCACTCAGGAACGAGCTCACGTGGAGGCTGGTCACGGCGCTTCTACAGACACATCAGACGATTCCGAACGACGCTCTCTTGCCTGGGGAATCTGTGTCTCTCCCCCTTTCTGCCATTTCACTTCGCTGAGCTCTCAGAGGTCTTTTTTTTGGACAGCTCTTTGTTCTTCAGTGGGCCGGTGAGAGGGAACAACGTGAGACCTTCCGGAAAACGTAATTCAACAAATTCACGTTCATCAAGAAAGAATTCTAAAAGCACCTCTGCCCATAGATTACTTAATGCAAAGAATCTGATTTCACTAACTACCAGGGTAAGGTAATTCTCAAGGTCAAGAAGGCAAAAATCAGGAGGAGAAGCCGCAGACGGAGACTACCTGCCAGTCTGGGAAGCATCTGGAGGAGAAAGGGTTCCTGGGGGTGAGCAGAGCCGCCCAGGGAGCGGCTCCCAGGGAGCATCTATACATTCTGCTATGGAGTTTGACAGGTTGGGCATGCGTCCCTCCCTGTGACATCAGTCACATGCCCACCGATTGCCAACAGCGAACTTCCCCAGCCTCCCCAGTCCTGAGAGCCTGAGGGACAGAAAGAGAGAGCTTGGACTCTGGGGCATGAGTTACGGGGAAGAGGAACCTGGAAATATGCAGGAAACAGGGACAGACTTTCATGACTTTTCTAGGAATTAGAACACGCAAGCAAGAACGAAGCCAGAAACCTTCAATACTCCTAAGATGATGTCGAGTATCTCATTCTGACTCTCAACTTTTTCCCTGGCGTTTTGCTGCCTTGAAAGACAGTGACTCTCCCTGACTGCCAGCTCCCTCTCCATCTCTGCCCTCCTCCTTTCCCGCTCCAGACGGTCCTCCAGGTTTCTGATTTTCTCCTCATACTGCTCTCTTATCTGCCTCTTCTCCCTCTCCAGCTCAGCTCTGATTTGCTTTTGTATCACTTGGACCTGTTTCTGAATCTCCTCCTCTGCCCTCCGGTACATCTCGTTGGTGTAGAACCCTCCCTCGTTCTCCCTCGCCAGGCGCTGGACCAGGTCCAGCAGCTGAGCCCTCTGGGCCTCCTGCTCGGCCCCTGTCGCCTTGTTGTTGAACGCACAGTGACGACCCCTGAACTGCTGCATCAGGTCTTGAATGAATTCTGGAGCCCCGTCTAAGAAATCACAGAACTCCTCGCTGCCCAGGTCATCCTTCCGCGTGAAGAGGAGAATCATGTGTCTCCTCGCTGTGGGACCAAACATCCTCAGCACCTTCTCTGCAGCCTGTTGCTCTTCCTTTGTGTACCGGGCCACCGGGACCACCAGGAGCAGAGCGTGAGGCCCGGGGGACGTCAGGAGGATGCAGCGAGCGATCTCCTTTTGCGTGTCAGCATCCGGCACCTCGGTGTCGAAAAGGCCTGGCGTGTCCACGACCACGATTTCTCTCCCGTTCCACGTGCTGCTCCCTTTCTCACAGACCTTGGTGACGGATTTTGCAGTGATGCTGGAACAAAACACGTTCTTCCCGAGGATGCTGTTCCCTGTGGCACTTTTTCCGGCTCCAGTCTTACCCACTAAGACTAGTCTCAGTTGTGACTCTCCGAGGTCCTGGTTTCCAGGCCCTGGGACATCAGGAAACAAAAGCCACAGGGTCAGGACTGACCTCCAGCATGTCCCCGCCGGCTCACACCTACCAGTGTCATCTGTGCTGCCTGCCAGGGTCCTGTCCCGTGAGTGACCTCTACACCCACAGGGGCACGGAGGTGCTCCTGCTGTAGGACATGGGGCCCCCAACATGTCGCCTGAGTCCCTTGGGCTGCTCACTGTGACCTTTGGCAGCTAAGGTCATGACTGCTGTTTCTAGGCCTCTACGTGGTGGAGTGGTTTGCCAAACCAGCCAGAGCTCAAATGATCCAGTCGCTTTCGATACATCGGAAAGTGAAGGGGGTTATGTGGGAAATGCAGGGAGCCACTCAGGGGAATTTGGCGGTTATCGTGCGGCCACCTGGAGCAGGGACACTAGGGACCTGAATAAAAATTACTCTCACGTTCCTCCTTCCCGACCACCTCTGGGGCCCAAAGGGGGCAGAGAAACACCCAGAGAGGCCACCGCGGGACCCCCGGGTGTGTGCTCAGTTTAGGAAGTAGGAGACCAGACACGTCGTCCAGCCTGGGTCAGTCAGGACACCGTGACGTCTCCTCCTCTTAGCGGTGATGCTACGTCAGGAGGGGACAGGGTGGAGGGTCGAGGGAAAAGGAAGAGCCGAGTCCGTGGAGGGAAGAGGAGCAATGGGGTTGGAGACATTGGATCTTGCTCAGATGGGGGCTCGCAGACAGGACACGGGAACCCCCCGCCCGCCGCCCACCAGCCGGGCCTGGGGAGCCGAGCCCCTCTCACCGTGGCGGGTCCTGGGTTCGCTGACACGCGTGCTGGGCACTGGAGCTGCCATTGGCGCGTGAGCTCCTGTGGGCGAGAAGCAGAGCTCCCGTGAGGGGACGGGAGAGTGACCGGCACCCGACCCTGGCGCGGCCGCAGCGTCTTCCTCCCACAGACCCGCTGCTGCCGGATGCCCCGCCCTCGTCCCGGCTCTTGAGCTCCGCCCCCTCGTCAGTCTCCTCTCCGCGTTTGCGCTTCCTCTGCACAAACACACAGGCTGCACGTGCTGCCTCAGCTCCGCTTCCCGGCGCCCTTCCCCACCCCCTCGTCCCTCGTCGCTCTGCCCGCCATCTGGACGTTCCCCGAGGCCCAGACCCTCCGCAGAGCTCTGACCCGCGGAGTCCCACTCAGCCTCCCCACTGGGCCAGTTCATGGGCGCCTCGCAGAGAACCGGCCACAGGAAACCCTCGACCTCCCTGTGCCCAGCCCGTCCTGCCTCCAGGTGACGGGACGATCTGCCCGCGTTCAGCGGACGGCCTCAGCCCCGGCCTCAGCCCGCGCTCCCGCGGGGCCACGGAGCCACGGCGCCGCCTGCGCGCGGCTCCCTCACTTTTGCTCCTCAGTCCCAGGGGCTCTACCTCCAAGTCAGGCAAACGCGTCCCTTCTCCCGCCTGCGGATGCATCCAGGCCCCTGGGGTTGGTTCCCTGTCAAGGACCCTAACCGATCCTCCCGTCCTCCGTCCCTCTTCACGTCTACAATCCGAGACTTTTTAAACTAAACCTTGATTGGTTTTCTCCAGCGCCCCCAACGCCCCCAGCACCGCCCCGCCCGACAGTGCAGCTGTGCTGAGGTCCCCCCGTGTTGGCCCTCACGGCGCCCCAGACAGTCTCACATATATTCCTACGCTCTGTACGTGCTGCAAGGGTCATTTCTTTGTACAAATACCCTCTGAGCAGCACTCCTGTAACAGGTGGGAGTTTGTACCGCTCAGCCTGCTGAACAGCTTAGAGCCCGAATCAATCAGCAGACACAGGAAACTGAAAGCAACAAGAAATCTGTCGAAAATCAGTCAGCAGAGAGAGGAAACCGAAAGCAATGAAAAATCTCCGCTGAGAGCACGTTGGCCAGGGGGCTTAGCACCGACCCAGGGCAGGGGTCCCCACTGCTCCCAACCCCACACTTTCCTGCCCCTCCCCCCAACACACGCACAATCACCCTCATACCTTTAGCTGGAAAGCCTGTGTCCTGTTCGGGTCTCTGGTTTGAAGGCTCAGTTAGGACTTGAGGAAGAGGAGGAGAGAGGAAGGGAGGGGAGGAGCTGTGCACGCTGGCTGGCGTAAGAGGCCTCTGCCCAGGAAGGCACGCGTTAAAACTGACCGAGAGCCCTGGCCGGGGCTGCTCAGTTGGTCAGAATGCTGTGCCGTACACCAAATGATTGCAGGTTCAGTTCCTGAGGAGGGCACATACCTAGACTGCGGCTTCCGTCCCTGGTTGGGGCCCACACACCAAGCCACCAATCGATGTTTCTCTCACGTGGATGTCGACCTACATCTTGTTCTCTCTCTCCCTCCCTCCCTCTCTCTCTCAAAAATCGATAGAAATATCGCCTTGGGTGATGAAATAAATAGATAGGTAGATAAATAAATAAATGGAACGAGAGACCAAAAGCTTCCCAAGCAAGGAAAGATCAAGGAGTTCATCGCCGCCTAACATGAGTTACAAGAAATATTACAGGGACTTATTTAAGAAGAGGAAATAATCGTAAGGAAGTAACACATATAAATACTAACGTGGCAATAAACAGCTACTCATCAATAATCCATTTCAATGTGAATGGACTAAATGCGCCGATCTTAAGACCTAAGGTTGCTGAATGGATAAGAAAACAGGACCCATATACATGCTGTCTATAAGAGATCCCCTTCAGGACAATCAAGATGGCAGAGGAGTGAATGGGAGTCACACTGACCTCCTCCCAGAACCAATCCGGAATTACAACTAAACTGTGGAGAAGTCACCTGGAACAAACAACGGAACAATAGCAAAAGAGGAGCCTTGTAACCTTGGACAGACAGAAGAATGAGCTTTACCACAACCTAAGCGGTAAGGAGTGTGGCAGAGACTCGAGAAGGCAGGTGGGTCGCCTACAGGTGGCAGCGCCAGAAGGTAATTGAAACAGCCCGTCGGATTCCCCTGACAGGGCTGGGGTCTAAACCGTAAGCAGGGATCTCCAGCCTCCAGCGCCAGAGCCCCCAAATTACATGGATAACAGCCAGCTGTGAAAAGCGGCGGGGTTGCCCTCTGCCAGAGACAGGTGGCTGGACACAAAGAGCCGTTGAAACGGCCAACATATACATTTTTATTTGCAGCCACTTACCCTGGTCTCCTGCAAAGGCAAGGGCAGAATAGGCTCGAGAGGCCTGAGGAGAGACTGGAGAAGGAGGCTTTGGGGAGAAAACTGAGAGAGTCGCTGGTGGGATCCTGGCGCTGACTCATCCCTCACACGGCAGCAGCCATCTTGCTCAGGCAGGCCACTCCCCCGAGTGGCCGCACCATGAGAGGACACAATCGCCCTGCCCCCAGGAGCATTCCGTCCCGCCCCGTGGTGTCTAAGCCAGCCTGCTGAGTGCAGAGACTGACTACATTAACAGCTGAAGGAGACGGCCACACACAGTGGATTCCCGGAAGTCTCAAACAGACTGCCGACGGTCAGACAGGGTCAACATCTGACACCATCAGAGGCAGATCCAGAAAGAAAAAGACACAGCAGTCTCCTACCATTGAAGTTCACAGCACAAAGTCAGGAAATCAAGACAGAGCAATTTAAGAAACAGAAGCCAAAAAGAAGAGTCTCACAAATAATGAGAAGACAAAGAAACACTCCCCCAGTTGAAGGGAAAGGAGGAATCCCCAGAAAGAGAACTCAGTGAAATAGGGCAAGGAAACTCTCAGACATTGAGTTCAAAGCAATGGTTCTAAGGAAGCTCAATGAGCTCAGTGAGCTCAGAGAGAATTACAAAAAGCTACAGGGAAACGATAAGGAACTTACTGCAAACTATTTCAGCATGAGAAAGGACATAGAAAGTATCGATAAGAAACAAGAGGAAATGAAGAATACACTTTCCGAATTGAAGAACACAGTAGAAGGAATCAAGAGCAGGCTAGATGAAGCAGAGGAACAAATCAGTGAGCTGGAGAATAAGGTACACAGAAGGTCCCAGAAAGAGCAGAAAAATGAAAAAATACTAAAAAAGAATGAAGAGACTTTTAGGGCAATGCAGGACAACCTGAAATGCAATAAGACCCGTATAATAGGGACACCAGAAGGAGAAGAGGAGAAAGGGATAGAGAACCTGTTTGAAAACGTAACGACGGGAAACTGCCCTAATGTGAGGAGAGAAAAAGTCACACAAGTCCAGGAAGCACAGAGGGTCCCTTTCAAGAGGAGCCCGATGAAGCCCACTCCAAGACACATCATACACATCATCGTTACAATGGCAAATATCAAAGACACACAGAGAATCCGAAAGGCAGCAAGGGAGAAAGAGGTAGTAACATATTAGGGAGCCCTAATGCAGCTAGGAGCTGACTTCTCAACAGAAACTCTACAAACCAGAAGGGAATGCCAACAAATATTCCAAGTCATGAAAAGCAAAGGCCCGCAGCCAAGACTGCTCTGCCCAGCAAGGCTCTCAATCAAAATGGAAGGTGAAATAAGAATTTTCCCAGACAAAAGGAGGCCAAAAAAATACACCTCCACGAAGCCAGCATAGCAAGAGACGTTAAAGGGACCGCTTGGAGAAGATGAAGAAAAAGAGTCTATGAATACCCAGTTCCTTTCACAGTCACCAATACTTGATATTACCGATATTTGTAACACTTATTAATCTGATTGTGACAAAGATGTGTTATTTTAGTTGTTCCATTATTAGTTTTTGAAACTAAACCCGTTTCTGTATATTTCTTGCCTATTTCTATTGTTTTAAAAAGGCTTTAAATGGCTTTTTGGCATTCTTTATCCATGTTTTGATTAAATGTTTGTAGAATTGTTTTCCCTAAAAAGAAAACTATTAACCTTTTGTAGATGTGTTGCAAATACTTTCCTATTCCATTACTGGTCCTTTAACTTTTTTAATATGTATAGTACAGTATAGTCTTAAATGTTTAATATAGTCGTAATGTCAATATTTTACTGTATAGCTTCTGGGGTTGGCTATGTTACTCCAGGGTAAGAAAAATATTATTTTGCATTTTCTCCAAAAACTCGTTAGATTTTATGTATTGATTTTGAACTCACCTGAATATTTTCTGTACAATGTGTGAAACAGGGCTCTATATTTGTTGATTTTAAGTAATAGTGGCCCATGCACCTTATTTGTTGAATAAGCCTTATTTTCCCCATGGATTTGAAATGTCAATTTAATCATATATCCCATAGTTAGACAAATATGTACGTTTCTTTCTAGGATGCTCATTTTATTTTATTGATCTACTTGATTATTTCTGTGCTGGTGTCATGTTGTTTTAATTGCTGAGACTGTATAATGGATTTAAATTTTTTCCTATTTTATAATAGATTTTGACGTTTAAAATATAAATACATAAAATCAATCTGCATTTAAAAAAGGAAAGAAAGAAGGAACTCCTACCTTCGCAACAACATGGATGGAACTGGAGGGTAGTATGTTAAGTGAAATAAACCAGTCAGTGAAAGACGAATACCGTATGATTTCGCCTATACATAGAATCTATTCAATACAGTAAACTAACAAACAAAAGAAACCACAGGCACGGAAACGTGGAGCAGACGGAAAGTGACCAGAGGGGATGGGGAAGGAGGACAGTGGTGGAAAGGAGGGGAAGGGACTGGACCAAGAACACGTATGAATGAGCCACGGACACGGACAACAGAGTGGGAACTGACTGCTGAACAGGGGGCGGGGTGGGATGGGGGGCGGGGGCAAAAGCGAAGAAACGCAGACAACTGTTACAGAATAAGCAAGTATTGAAAATTAAAGAAAAAGAGATGCCCTTCAGAATGAAAGACACAAAGACACTGAAAGTGGAGGGATGAAAAACTATTTAATGCAAATGAAAAAATGCAAAAGAGGCCATCGACAAAGTGAAAAGACAACCGTCTGAATGGGAGAACATACTTACAATCACAGAGCTGATTAAGAGGCTAATATCCAAAGTCTGTAAAGAACTCATACAACTGATTGCAAAAAACAAACAATTCGATTTCAAAACATAGGCAGAAGTTCTGAATAGACATTTTTCCAGTAAAAAGACGTAGAGATGGCCAAGAAGCATTTGAAATGATGTTCAACATCACAATCATTAGGCAACTGCAAATCAAAACCTCAGGGAGGTATCACCTCACACCTGTTAGAATGGCTGTTATCAACCCGACAAAAATGAGGAGTGTTGGCGAGGATGTGGAGCAAAGGGAACCCTTAGGTAAACACTGTTCGTGGGGATGTAAACTAGTGCAGCCGCTGAGGAAAACGGTATGGAGGGCCCTCAAAAACGAAAACTAGCTCGCCAGCGGGCGTGGCTCAGTTGGAGGGAGCGACCGCCTTTGGCGGAAGGGTTGCGGGCGCGGCCCCTGGTCCGAGCGCTTGCCGGTCTTGGCCGATCGGCGCTTCCCTCCGGCATCGTTGTTTTTCTCCTTCTTCTCTCTCTGAAAGCAATGAAAACAAGTGCCCGGGGGGCGGGGGTCAAAGACAATTCAAGACAGAATATCATATGACCCACCAATTTCACTACTGGATGTTTAGCTGCGGGAAACAGAAACACTTTCCAGCATTATTTACAACCACCAAGACTCGGAAAGGACCGAAGTGTTCAGATATGGACGAATGGATAAAGAAACTGTGATGTGTATGGAATAGCGTCCAGCCATAGAGCACCCCAAATCTTGGCATTTGAACAACACGGATCATCTGAAGGGCATTTGCTAAGTGAAATTCAGTCCGATAGAGAAACACAAATATTGTATGATCTCTCTTATATGTGGAATCCAAAACAAATACACAAACGAAAGAAACTAAGCTTACGGATCCAGAGAGCGGACTGGTGGTCCCCAGAGGTGAGGGGTGAGGAAAGCAGTTGAGGGGGGTCAAAAGGTAAATATTAAAATAAAATAAAAAGAAATACTTCCACATTGCAACATGTGCGCAGGTATGCAAGGTAATGGGAAATACTCAAACTCGTTAGAAAAATGTTTACAAAATTGATTATTAAATCTACTGAAGAAAGCACTGAATTTTATT